AGAGCTCGACTACGACGCGCTGAAGTCAGCTGCCCACACTAAGCTCGTCCAGCTCTTCATTACCGTGCGCAACGAAACTGCCTCCGCGATCAAAGACGCCATCAACGCTACCTTTGCCCCATTGGGTAGCCCATCTCGTATCTGCAAAGACGAAGACGGCATGTTGCAGCAACTAGTCGTAGCAGCCGTCCTCGCGCACGAATTCAAGACCTGGACCGAAGCAGACCAAAAAGCATTCAGCGACGACATCCAAGGTCCTGAGTACGCCGACTTCCGCAACGCCTACAACATGGTCAAGGGCGCGAACCAGGATTTGATCGAGATTGGGGATACTGCTAGGTCATTGGCGGCGGAGCGCAAGGCGGGTATGGAGCGTAGGAGAGCAGCTAAGAAGGCCGGTGTTGGAAACGTGGATCAGAGTAAGCTCATGGTTGGAAGCGGTTCGCCTTTGAGCGTGTTGAGCGCGCGGCCTGCAAATATGAAGGATAAGTTCAAGAGGCGTGTAGAGAAGCGGGGTGTTAGTTCGGTTGCGAAGGTGGATGGAGATGAGGATATGGATATGGAGGTTGACTAGACTGCTTGTCTCGTGGCGAGATGTGCACCCTGGAGTCTACGCTGACCTTACGTCGTCTACTTTGCATGCTTTCACTTTGATGTAGGCTGCAGACCTGTTTGGGGGTTTCTTTCTAGGAGATGCTTTCCCGATTCAACTTGTCGAGCTTGAGATAGTACATGGATTGCAATTAAATGACGATAAAACCCTACGAGTTTATTATTAGCCAGATGCGTCGTATTTCTGCTTTTTGTTCGCGCGCAGGTGTTGATTTTCTAGGCAGGGGGCAAGTGAGAGGTGCAGTTGCTTGGTGAGAGAACCTAAAGCGGAGGCGCTCGCTTCCGACTTCCGCCCGAACGCCTACATCATCTTTTCCCGTCCTTACACATCCCCGCCAACGACGAATAATTCCAACCAGCCAATCACCTCATTTTTGACATTGATCGAGCATCACTAGCCTTTCATCGGTCGTTCCTATTTTTGCGAAATCAAGCCGCGCTTCGGTGCCGGCTGTCATGGCTTGCAACAGTTGGGAGAAGCTGTGTAAGGCTCAGCGCGATTACCCAAAAGCGAAGTTCGCAGACTCGTTCGTACAAAAATCGCTCAAGAAGACACCCAAGAACCCATTTCTCTTGGTATGCTAGTCGATATCGGAAATTCCATTCTCAGGCTAATTTCGAGCAGGCATGGAAAGCTCGATTATGTCTTACGTTGAACAATGTGGACACCGATGTAGCAAATCTGGTACAACAGGCCTGGGAGCAGCCAGGGGTGAACGATATTCGGCTGCTGTCCTACTTATATAAGATCTTAGCCGACGAAACGCGGAAAGATCAGAATAATAACCTAAACATCAGCGGAGTGGGCGACGGGAACCTCAAAGTTTGGCAACGTGCTGCGAAAGCCTTGGGACGCAAGGAAGACCGTCAAGATCTCTGGTCTGCTCTAGCAAATGTGGCATTGGCAGAGGAATGCTGGGAAGACTTCCGCCTGGTACGTAAGAAACCGGCATCTGGCCACGACCTGGTTGTATCTCGACACCTTTGGGAATGCGCATCTCCCCGCGCCTTCTCGCTACCACATAAAACTACAACAGGGTGAGATTAGATTTGGTACTAACGCTTGACAGGCTGTCTTCCACTACAGCAAAGAAACCAAGGAGGGCGCTGGATCAACATCTGCAAAAAAGCATGCTCACTTCACGCAAACACTCGCTATTCAACTCGCAGCCGAACAGCAGCGTGGACTTCCCCAGGGCGAGATGAAAAGCAAACTTCAATTCGACCTGGCTCGTAGACTTTTGAAACAAGCATACGAGGCGGCTCCAGATGACCCCATCGCTTTCAAGGATATACGCGACTTGCGTTTTATGGGCGAGATCTTCGCGCGGCAAGCGAAGTGTAGCGAGCTGTTCGAACACTGGAACCACCCGCCTGCAGCCCTCCAGGACCTTATGACGAAACATCGGGGTGACTTGTGGGGCATGAAGATTAGACTTGCACGGCAGAGTAAAGAATGGTCTCTACTTGAAAGCCAGTGTCTTGCGTACATTGAGCGCATTATATCACAGCAGGAAAGGTATGTTGAGTCAGCGGCAAAGTGTAACATCATAAAGTGGCTGCGGGTTGCTGCAGCGACTTCCAAACCCTACTTATTGCTGACGTTCTTAGCCTTCGAGAGACTTGTGCCTGGAAGAAAGATATTTGGACATCCTTACTAGCCGCCGCGTACGCAACACGCTCCGCTGACGATGCTGTTCGCCTGATCTCCGATATCACAAGTCGTACTTTCAACCCGGAGGAGTTCCAAAGCCAAGACCGCCCCTTGAGACTTGCGTACATGACACTTCGCCAGAATGTCGCTCCAGGAACTCCAATGCTGGCCGACTGTAAGACGTACTGGAAGAACCACGCGAACCTTATCACATGTTACGCAGATATTCGACCATTCCTAGACGGCATGACCTCAAAGGACCGAGGAGAGCTCTGGAGTTTTGCGGAAAATCACTACGAAGACGCGGGGAAGTTGTTGGCACAGAATCAGTACCCGGCTCAAGACTGGATTGTTCATTGCGGCAATCGTCTCAAGATGTGTTATCTTTTCTGGATATCACTCTCGACGCCATCTGCTCAAAGGTGGCAAGGGCTCATGGAGGTACCTTTGATCGCCGCATTGCGAGCCCCTCAGTTACGGACACCCAGGTCGCCTGAAGGTTTTGTTGCAATATACACACTCCTCTGGATTCACCAAGAAGCTATGCGCAACGAAGAGCCCGATCATCCCTTCGAAAATACGCCAAACTCACGAGTTCTCCTTCAAGCTGCAATGTTAGTGCGCCATTTGGTGGCGGGCGATAAAGAAAAGCAAAACAGACCGCTGGCACTACTTGCTGCACGGCTGCACCTAAACCTCGGTCTGGGAAAATCCGCTTTCCAGTTGTACAGCCACACCAAATGCAAGGAGATGCTAGTGCATACTTTGTCACCATATGTTCTGTCACGCATCTCACTGACACATCCATTTGGGGCCAAAGGCTACCAAGGATTCTCAGCCGAAGAGGAACTAGGAAAAGCTGTCGGGACAATGGAGAGGATGGAACGCAAGCTTAATGAGGCAGTATGTTCTGATCTCCAGTCGCTTCCATGGGATCAAGCTATGGAACTCTTGGCCGCGAAACGGGATTTCAAGTCGAGCTTGACAAAGCACATATGCAACACAGAGAGCCGTCGCATAGCACGACTCAAGGGTGAACCGAACGATAACATTCCCGTTATCGACTCAAGTAGTATGTTGCGCTCATTTCGAACCTGGAAACTGGCTAATCTATGCAGGCTACCGGAATATCAAGGACGTCGTGGATAGGACCATATTCCCCAACTACGAGCACAGTCAGCATCCTGGACCACTTTCATACATCATGCCCAACGGCCTTCCTGAAGTTCATTGGCTGGCCAAGAGCCTTGATATCTGGGACGCTAGCAGTAGATTTCTCTATAGAGAGACACAGGTGTTGGAGTTCAAGGGCAAATGGATACACCAAGTTGCCATGCCTCCGGATCATGCCTGGGAGACTGAGCCTGACATGACGCTTGCGGAATACCAAGTTGAGGACACATGGGAGGCAATCAATCTCATCGTTAGGACGATGACCTTGCCAGAACTTTCCTTCGAGGCGCTTCCTGGGGCGCTGGAAGCACTTCTGCTAGAGGTTTCCACGATGCGACGTGCAATGGAGAAACTGCGTATGCCTGGCGCCACGCACCAAAAACCCGAAGACGAACCCACCATGTTCCACGAGAATATGCTAATGTCCTGCTATACCAAGTTCGAAGTCCTGCGCGCACTCATCAAGTTGATCGAACACCTACGCGAGAAGGTCATCAATGCGAAGACCCACCGCATGAAGGCTAAGTTGCCAAAGAACTGGGTCAATGACATGGAAACTGGGACGAAGAGTTGTTTCGAGGTGATACGGGATGTGGCGCATAGCTACATCAATCTCATCGAACAGAGAGGTCGTGCTGCGATTAAGGCGCAGGTACGGTGGGGCAAGACGGGCGAGGCACTGAAGCATGTGCTGAGTGACGACGATGTCGACTTCTACGCAACTGAATATGTTGATAGCGCACTACAGGCATGGAGGGGTGTGCTACAGGTTAAACTGAAGTAGACGGGCAGATTACAAATACATCTCGCTTATCATCCCGCATGCCGGCCTCCTCAGGCAAGGTTCTGCGAGGACATTCTAGCTCGATTATCAGACCACCTCAGACAAGAAAAAAACTGAACAGGTCTGCAGACTACATTAAGACAAAAACCTGCAAAGTAGGTAACCCAACGTCAACGTAGTCCTAGAGACTCCAGAGTGTTCAGTTTTTTCTTAGGTTGACGTGAGACTAATGCTTTCCTCCACTTGCCTGCGAAGAGATTATGGCAATGAATGGCGACTGATATATCTCAGTGAAATGTTAGATATGATTGAACAGTCGGGGATGCGCCTGAGTTTCGTCGCATTGAGATTGCTGTATTTCATGTTGCTCTTGACTCAATACTGCTGCTTTCCTGCACTTCACAGCTAAATGAGGGAGGACACACTGCCCATCCTCGCACCTTCACACTCAATTCTGAGCAGCGACTGTCACTTACAATACTCTTTCCAATCTACGTCAGATCCAAGTGCTAGCGTTGATGGTTTAAAATGCAGCTCACCTCGTGAACTCTCCAGGCTCCCGTGTGCAAACGCAAACGCTGTATCCGCATAACCCAACTCACTCGCGTTCACCTCATTTTTAGCTCCGCCATCGTTACTCTCCCGCTATTCACCGAGGATTGCTTCGGAGTCTCATTATCACCGCCGACTTGGCTTTTCGTTTTCCTCCACTTCGTTGCACACGCGCCGCTTGCTTCTGTACATCCCTCGCTGTCTACACCACGCAAGCTCTTCGCCATGGCCTACCCCACGGGAAAACTCCCTTGGACAAATTCGCTGTCGGGACCCGGTTCTACCTCTGGCAACCAGTCAGTAGATCACACCGAGGACGAGCTAGGTGAACGTCCGGCCTCCGACTCGGCTTCCTCATCGTCAGCTCACGGTTCTGCCTCTGGCGAACATCCAGATGAGCCCTTCATCGGCCCGCTCCCTGAAGGCGCAGACTGCCCGACGTCCTCATTGCCAAGTCACGGTTCTGGCCTCAGCGCTGTACCGTCCTCATCGTCAGATCACCAACCAGATGGACGCAACAAGAACGCGCTTCCTGAACGTACAGATTCACTCGCAGATCCTGGCGGCCCACGGAAAATAGGGACGGACTTATCAAACATGACGGAGGATGAGAGAAGGGAATGGGCTTGGAACATTGCCGACCCCAATCGCAGACCCAAATCCAAACCCGTCAGGCCCGACCCTAACAGCCACTACGTCTCTCCTGAGGGTAAATTAGCCGCCTCGCATAGCTCTCAGGATATCTTGCTAACTTTTTCACTAGTATGTAGCACCCTTGCTATGCTTTGCCATCGCGATCGTGAGACATCTCACTACATGTAGCTCCCTTGCTATGCTTTGCCAACGCGGTACTGAGACATCTTACTCTTCATGCTAACAGCTTGACAGACGTTTCAAACAGCGATGTACGATCTCACCAAAGATATAAACCTGAGACCCAAGGGGCATTCGAGCGGCAAGTGGCGCTGTTGCAAGTGTAACCGTCGCCACAAGGTCTACGTTCAACCACACATCCACCCACTCCACGTTCTGAGCTGCGAATGTACCCACCGATCGTGTGCTAAGTGCAAACTGGAGGAACATCCTGCCAATTATCCTGCGCCAACCCGGCCACAACGGTCTCCTCGGGTTCTGGTCAAACAGTTCCAACCGATGAACGACCCGGAGGTGATCCCTTTGTCTGAGGACAGCGCCAGGGCTATACGATTTGGCGTCGTCTGCGAAGGCTGTGGTCGATCGTGGCTCGCACGGAGAGTCCCAGTCGAGTACAAGAAGATACCGAAGAAGTCGCTCCTGGAACGTCTACCTACGCTCCCCAAGTTCCCAAAAAAGCGCGGTGGTGGTGCACCCACTTTGCAGGACCTGCGATCTAGTCGATCGATGAGCAATCTCCACGATCCTACTCAGTCACGTTCTCAGGCTGCGCCGCCGGCCGCTTCCAGGTCCAGCTTCGACCTCCAAACCCTTCGGAAGACGATGAAGAAAAAGCATGGGGTACAAGCTGAGCCGGTTCCTGTCAAGTTCGTGGGCATCAAGTGTCTCTGTACTATGACTACTGCAGACACTTCGCTCTGTTTCCAGATCATGGATAAGCCGGAGGACCACAACCATACCCAGTTGGCGAATCAGGTGGCCGCGCGCAAGCCGGCTGGCTTTGGCAGCACACCGGCAGACACTGCGAGAGGTCATGGTACCCCGACCTTGAAGTTGAGGGGAAAGAAGCACGAAAACCCGCTCATGAGCAACCTTGTCGCCTAGAAGGACGAGAGCAAGAAATTCCTCCATGATCTGCTGCCAAAACGTCGGAGGTGAGACCGGTCAGAGTGAGACCTTGGAGGAGGAGACAACATTGGTGAAATTGGTGCATCAGGCCGATATTTGAGGCCGCAGGAACCAGGTTTTGTCGAGAGTTACCCGTGTTCTATCTTTCTTGCACGCCATAGAAAGAAAAGATTAAACAGGTGCTCTACTGTCTACATTAGCATAAGAGTTGAAGTTTGCACATTCCCCACAGCAATGTAGACCTCTAGGAGGTAGGTGTTCAGTTTTTTCTTGTGTACAAGGTGCTTTCTTGGATGTTTCGGTCAGAAATTGGAGATGCGCTATGCAAGTGCTCGGGGATTAGCATGTTCATTTCTTTCTTGTTTGGGCGTCGCTGGAAATCGTAGGCAGACGTGGTTTGACTGTTCATATGGGCTTTTGAGCCTGTCGATTGTTGCTAGTCAGCATTCCGTACGCTAGGCGATAATCAGGCCCTTTTTGACTCCATGGTTGATCCTGATGTGATGTTGCACCTGTGACTGCATCGCCACACCGGGTTCCTCTTATGACCAGGGCTTCTCTTAACGCGGGCGTCAAGGCGTGATCCAAATTCTTTATGTGGGGAAGGTAGTACTCGGTGTTAGTGTGATTAACGTGCTCCAGCCTCTTCGCGCCCTTATGTGAGCTTCAGCCTTAGCTGTGACTGCCATCTACTCATCGCGATAGCTCTGCCGGCCAGGTCCGTGACCTCGTACACCGATACCAACATCACCAGATCACTTACTCAATAGACTAGTGTGTAGCTGTGTGATTAACACGATTGCTTCGCGTGGTCCGGGTAACTGCCTTGAATGGCAGCCTTAGACAGCCTTGCCGCAGACGCCACGGGTACCTAGGTACAATGAGAACGAACAAGACACCAGCAGCACTGCCCCGATACCGACCCAATGTATGAGCAATATCCTAGACTGAAGGAGTCGGTGTGTGAAGAATCGCGCGCGTGCAGTGTATGGCATGAATTACCGCCATGCGAACCGTCAGCCGCCCTGTTGGGGTCTGCGCCTCAACCTTGTGGATCCCAGGCGCCAAACATCCAGGCAGCGTCAATAAAGCGCAAATAAAGAGGACAAAGCGATGCGCATTGTGAAGTATCTGCCCATCATTCCAGTCACAGTTTCGTATCACAAACAACATCTGAGTCGATTGCGTTGCCAACAGTATCCGTGTGCGATTCCGTTTGCATCGTTCCACGACTGCCCCGAGACCCCAGACATACCGGCCTCAAGGGTCCAAGCTATGTCATTGGCCCGGTATGACTAGACCCCACCAAAAAGCATAAGAACCACGGAACTGACTTGCATTTCCAGCTTCCACACTTTCCATCAGCCTTCTTCATACACCCCTACAGCCCGAGCAGCTACTTTCCCTACAAATTCAGGAGTTTTCGCCGCCAAAAACCGACTGCAGCAGTTGACAAGCCATTTAACGAAGAGCTCAATCATGTCCACGATGGCCGAGAAGTCCCAAGATAAGAACAAGACTACCAACAGCGAGTCGACGAAGGGTAACACGCCTAAAGCGCCCGGGACGGTCTTCACAATAAAAAGAGACGATATTGGAAATGCCCAACTTGAACCGCTTCTCTCGAAGCCATTGCCAGTAGAACACGAAGATTGGAAGCACTCTACCCCTAAGTCCTCGACTACTCGAGGTGGAAATGCCGTGGATCCGCCTCCATACCAAAGATTCAACGTCTTTACCGCTGGTAGTATAGAGATGGGTAAAGCGGTCGAGTGGCAGTCGCTCATGGCAAATCTACTTCGGGACCTACCCATCACCGTGTGCGATCCACGACGACCGAAGAAAGATTGGAACCCAGCCTTGGCTCGCGTGAAAGACGATAATGGACTTACAGGAATGCGAGCACAAATCGATTGGGAACTGGACGCGCAAGACCAAGCAGACGTCATCTGCTTCTTCTTCGATGTCGACACCAACAGCCCAGTCTCTCTGCTTGAGTTGGGTCTGTTCGCTAAATCCAAAAAGGTGGTGGTTTGCTGTGACCCACGGTACCATAAATGGGACAACGTTCAGATAACGTGTGAGAGATATGGGATCCCGCATGTCGAGACATTTGCGAGATTGGAGCTAGAGATCAGAAATATGCTGGAGAAGCAGGGCATGGTACTTGACGACAACGGCGACTTGATCGGACCGAATGTTCATAAGCCCAAGCCTAAGTCGCATGAGACGTCGGAAGCGCAGCTTGAGGCGGACAAGGCTGCGTTGCAGAAGCAGGTCGATGAGCTCAAGGCGATGCTGGCGACACAGTCGAAGATGTGATCAAGGTGGGCTGTGTTGGCTCTGGTTTGACTGGCGTTGGTGGAGTTTCTGTCTTTTCACTAATAACCAGCGTGGGGGGGATGTCTCAATTACTGGTACAGCCCTGCTTTGGCTGTATCACATGTCTCTCATTTATACATGTCTCTATACCCAGACTTTCTTACCCAATGGCTTTTTTACCTTCTCAGAATAGATGAATAAACTGATGCCCCCTCCGGCTCAGGTCAAACTCTCCGCTTCACTGGGTTGATGATTTCCTTCCATCTGCCATTCCTAACAGACAAATCACATCGAGGCATCTATGTGGTGCTGGACTTTTCGTAATATGTGCTCGTCAAAGCACCGTAATCATGAGTCTACATGGACTACCGCCTTGCTAACCGCATGTATGCGTCTTGCAGCAGGCTCGAAAGAAAGACTTAGACCACATCCCATCCTTGCTCTTCCCAAATCTCTTCTCGGTTCGGTATATGCCATGTTCCAGGGAATATACCCTGACAATCTTTCCTACTACCTTTGGGTCATGGTTGTCAGATGCGCCGAATGACAAGACCAGGCGTGGCAGATCTTCTGGTCTAGACAGTCGAGTATCCACCATACGCAACCACCTCGCAGCCCTGCAGCCTCGAAGACAGTATATACGTTACAGAGGCGGAGAATCGATATGTAGCCCGCTATCTCGATGACATCGCCGATACCATCGTGATACATCCTCCCCACTGCCTCTCATCGTTTGATTATCCCAGACAAAGGGAGATAGCATATCCGTTTCTCCCAGAATATTGATTATCCCACTCATCATCCAACTTCAACTTCAAACCCAACTCTAACCCACAAACTACACCCCACACACCCAACCAACACCTCCTTCTCGCCCCTCTCCTCCGCATCCTCCAACTCTTCTTCTAAAATACTGAAACCCTTGTCTGCACCACACCGACAGCCTCGCGTCCACGTCGTCTGCCCTTCTGCCCCTTCTCCTCCTTGCGTACCCATAGAAGCAGATCCATCCACATCACCCCCCTCCCACATCTCAAAATCCCCCAAATCAAGCAACTCGAGCCCCAACACAAAATCACTCGACAACTGTACTTCCCCCCTCGCATTCTCCTTGCCCGCCGTCGTCGTGATCAGCCCATCGCCATGTCGCAAGAACCAATTATCGTATTCGGATTTTGAGGTTGCGTTTGCGAGGGTCGTGTAGGCTTCTTTGACGTCGTCGACAGTGTATGCGGGTTTCGTCTTCGTCTTCGTCTGCGTTGCGGTCGTGGCGGCGACGGCGCTCGCTTTATCTGGGTGCGCGGCTAGGAGGGCGAGTTTGTACGCTCGGCGGAGCTCTGCTGGGCTGGTTTGCTGTTTCGAGGTCCAGCCTGGCGCGGGCAGTTGCAGGATGTGGTAGTAGTTTTTGGTGTACGCCATGGTGTTTTGGCTTTGCGCGGCGGTTTGTGGTTTAGATGGGTCGTGCGGAGGACAAAATTAGGGCTCTAGGGAACAGAATGTGTTTCATGAAATTATGAGCGCCGCTCGCCCTTGAAGGGCTGGTTCGGAACTTTTGCCATACGCGACGCGACATGAGAAACGGAAAAGTTGGGCGGGGAGGTCGCTCGGCTCCAAGTGGTGGGGCGGTTCATCCCACGGGGTCTGGCACATGGAAAAGGACCGATCAGAGTCCAGATCGACGACATATGTGCACGTTGCAGTGAGTCAGAATGGACGCGCCTCAAGGTTTAAGTGATATCACCGCATAAGAGTGCAAGATTGAAGTAGCGATTCCTTTGGCTAGCTAAGAGTGCAGTATGATGACATTAAGCCCTCCAGAGCTTTGCGTACTGCTCTACCGGCCATCGAAACTGATGTCCTGACTCCCAGAATCACCAAGAGGATGTCAAACATCTCTGTCGGCATAGGATCGAGGTGTTTATGTGCTGCCAAAACGAAAACATGGGGGAATTGAGGGTAGCATCCGACGTACCGAACGCAGCCCTATCTCGCCGGTAGCAGCCCAAGACTCTCATGAGGAAGAGCTCAGAAGTACTAGAGTCGTGTGCGGAACGCGACCCCAGCACACTGCGTGCTCGATGGGACAGCGCCGGCAATAGGAGAGTAAAGGGAAATACATTCAGTCATGGGGAATTCGACCGTACCGAACCGCTTGCTGCCAAAGCCAATTTTTGAAATCACACAGAACACGTACAACTCCGTAGGACACTCGCTGCCGGCCTCCTTCGTCTATTCGAGAACAGATGACGACGGCTGAGGATACACAAGGTCGAGAGAGGGAGAGTGTGCTTAAGCGGCGGGGGCAGGGGCGGCAGCAGGAGGCTGCTCCTCGGCCTTGGGCTCGGATGCAGCGGGTGCGTCCTCAGTGGTCTTGGCCTCCTCCTTGGGTGCGTCGGTGGTGGCGGCGGCCTCGCCCTCGTTGCCGTCTGATGACGTCCAGAGAGTGAGGTTGTCACGGAGGAGCTGCATGATGAGGGTGCTGTCGCGGTAGGACTCCTCGGACAGAGAGTCGAGCTCAGCGATGGCGTCGTCGAAGGCCTGCTTGGCAAGGTGGCAAGCACGGTCCGGTGAGTTCAAGATCTCGTAGTAGAAGACCGAGAAGTTCAGCGCAAGGCCGAGACGGATCGGGTGGGTGGGTGTGAGCTCAGTCTGGG